AGGTTTTTAATATATTTGACCTCATTCTAGTAACAATCCTGTTATAAACGCTGAAACCATGACTATTCCAGTTACATTTAATGCGCAGACGATTACTAACCTAGACTCGTCTATATCTTTATTTTCAGATTTATGGCATTACTTCACGAATATTGTCCAAAATCCTGGACATATTTAGTGCTTGCCCTTTTATCGTCTGGTTCCCCGTCAGCCATTTTCTGTTTTTGGTATCATAGTAGCGATCCAGAACGTTCAAAGACCATGGTATGTTAACGTTGTGCAGCTCGGAAACAAAGAAACGGGCAAAGTTGATGGCTTCCGATTCCGTTATCGAACCATTTGCGTTATCTTGCGGCATCCACGCTCCGAGATATGTCAGCAAACCGTTTTCCCCCTTTTGATAATCAGTTGCGTGTTTAATTGCAGTTTTGACATTGTTTTGGCCTTCAGAACTGCCGTCACTGCTCCAGTACTTCTGGGAACCAAGCACTTTGTTTGGACCAGAGGCATAAAGATGCCACTCAGCCATCATATACTTATCATTTTCATAGATTTTTGAATCAATTTTAGATAAGTCCTCGGCAGTTTTTCCGGGAGATCCCAAAATCAGAATACGCTGAGGGTTGTTCCCACCTGTACGTCGGATTTCGTGCGTCACGTTCATGGTCCATCGGTTATATTTCTCGGTATTCTGGCGAAGACTCTCGTCATTTTTGTTATTTCGTTTGCAAGTGTCTTTTCCTAGTTCTGTAAAAAGATTAAAACTCAGTCTATAGTCCTTGTCCTTTAACTGCCGTGCTACCGCTGTCCACCAATTCACGTAGGCTTTAAAGTCCTTTTCCATGGCGCAGGCCTCTGCTTGATGGTGAACCCAGGAGATGATTGGAATCACATCATGTTTCAGACAATGGTCGACAACGGTCGTCAGGTCGCTAAGAAACCGTTTGAATTTGACGGTAGAGTAGTCATATGAATAGAGATCTGCCCTGCATCGAAGTCTTAAGTTGCTAAAGCCTTTTTCATGGACGTCTCTGATGTTCCGTTCCCAGTACTTTTTCATCGGCGTCTTCGTTTTGAACCAATTCGTAGAAAATCCTGCTCTGACAATCCCTGCTTGGTACTGTTCCGGGGTAATTGGATCATTTACGTTCACTACTGCAAAAAAAAAAATTGAATCGACCAAGAATATTTGAACGAACATTGTCGAATGTCTGGTTTACAACAGAGTTCGTTCACCAAGCGAAAATAAACAACGATCCAAAATTTTGACATTTCAATTCTATATCATAAGAAGACCAATGATATTAGTCGAAATGACAATTGGAAAAACAGTTTCATCGAATCTCAAAAAGTACCCCAAAACAGACGAAAATATTCAATTTGGTCTAGAGATGTGGTCTCAAGCATCGGAGCGCTGAATCCGCAGGTCTAAGGTTTGATTCTTTGTGAGGATTTGATTTTTTTTTTGTCACACGCTCATGACACACACACAAAAAAACAAAACATCTAGACAACGAGGAGTCCCTCCTTTTCGGCGAAGTCCTTAACGCGAGTAAAAACATTAGTGAAAAAAAAAATTGATGTTAGTTTGCCGCGGGAAGCTCTTAGAGTAAGCTCCTGCGGTGCATCGACTTTACTCCAAGGGATGCCTTCTAATTAAATCATGGCTACCAGTTTCTAGCAAAGAAAAGGTGGAGCTTCATCCCTTTACCAGTAGTTTTAAGCAATTTGTTAAAGGTCTTTCATTTCTAACGAATAACTGACAAAATTTGAAATTTATATCGCGACCTTAAACTGCAACTGTGCGCAATTTCATTGATCGTTTTCGTGAGCCAATGATTTTCTTTCAGATATTTACGTGATGGAATACAAAGTAAACTCTTCACATCACATTTTAATTAAAAATTGTCTTTGGACCCACCTGTTTCCCCGGTTATGAAAACCATAAACGGCAGGAAAGCTGAACTTAACAGGACCAATGATCTGAACATTTCGTCTCCTTAAGTTGATTGTTTTCGATCTGTATAAAGGAATTTAAAAACTACATTTAGGGCTTTGTGTCCGAGAAAAAAACGTCGTTTACTGAGTTCCGGGATTCCTGAGTGAAGTAACAATTATTATAACATACGGCGCAGATTAATATTTCCTTAAAGTATACTTCAATAGAAGATTTTAATTTTAAAATCGTACAATTTCAGAAATTCCATCACAAACTTACGAAATTTTCTGGCCGTAAATTCTAGTGA